GCGGAGCTGGCCACCCCGTGGCCCCCACTGAGCTCAAATGCAGCATGCAGACAGGGGCCACTTCTGGAATGCCCTTGCGTCACGAGGCCACTCATGTATGGTGCCAGTGTCTCCACGAATACACATTACAGTAAAGAGCCCTAAACTTGCTGGACGCTGGTGGCTCACGCCTGTAATCCTAAGACTCAGGAGGCTGAGATCTGAGAACTGCAGTTCAAAGCCAGCCTGGGCAAAAATGTTTGTGAGACTTTTACCTCCAATTAACCATCAAAAAGCTGGAAGCAGAGCTGTGGCTCAAGCGGTAGAGCACTCATCTTGAACAGAAAAGCCCAGGAACAGCATCCAGGCCCTGAGTTTAAGCCCCAAGACCATCACCAAAAAAACCCTAAACTTGCCGGGCGCTGGTGGCTCACGCCTGTAATCCTAGCTACTCAGGAGGCTGAGATCTGAGGATCGCGGTTCAAAGCCAGCCCGGGCAGGAGAGACCATGAGACTCCTATCTCCAATAAACCACCAGAAGTGGCGTTGTAGCTCAAGTGGTAGAGCGCTCGCCTTGAGCTGAAGAGCTGAGGGACAGCGCCCAGGCCCAGAGTTCAAGCCCCACGACCGACAAAAAAAAAAAAAAATTGAGACAAGAATTGCATTAAAGTGAATACTTGAGGACCAATTTAACAAAAAGGAAAGCTGGGCACCAGTGGCTCACGCCTGTAATCCTAGCTTCTCAGGAGGCTGAGCTTTGAGGATCACAATTCAAAGCCAGCACAGGTAGGAAAGGCCATGAAACTTATCTCCAATAAACTACTAAAAAAAAAAAAAAAACCCAAACTACTCAAAAACCGTTGCACTGTGGCTCAAGGAGTAGAGTGCTAGCCTTGAGTAAAAGCAGCTCAGGGACAGTGTCTAGAGCCTGAGTTCTAGCCCCAGGACTGGCAAAAACAAAAACACCACAAAGGAAGTGAAAAACTTAAAACTCTGCAAACTGAAAAGCACAACAAAAATAACATTATGGACCTGAGTAATTAGACAGCTATCCCATGTGTGTGGGCGGGAAAGTCAGTATCTGTGGAATGACAATGTTCTGAAAGTGGGGTTAATGCAATCCCGGTCAGCGTCTCTGCTTGGGCTGGGGCTGGGGTTCAGTTGTAGGGGACCTCCCTCGTGTGCGGGAGGCCCTGGACTCCAACTCCAGCACTGAGAGGGGAAAAAACAAGAAAATTTCACCGGATCTTTTATAAGGCCTAATGTTCATTTGTAAATGCAAGAAACCAGATGACTCAAGATAATCTCAATAAAAAAACTAGGAAAATGCAGGCTGGGAATGCAGCTGGGTGGTAGAAAGCTCACCCAGCACGCAGGAAGCCCTGGGTCCATCCCTCAGCACCACAGACACAGAAAAGCCACAAGTGGAGCTGTGGCTCAATGGTAGAGTGCTAGCCTTGAGCAAAAAAAGCTCAGGGACAGTGCCCAGGACTGGCACCAAAAAAAGGGGGGGAGGAATGCAAAGACTCACACCTCCCAATTATAAGTGCTGTATGACCTGCTAGATACTCAACGAACCCTCCTCAGAGCTACCCCACATCAAAAACAGAGAAGGCAGCCAGGCATCCATGGCTCACACCTGTAATCCTAACTATTCAGGAGGCTGAAATCTGAGTGCTGCAGTTTAAAGCCAGCTGCAGCAAGAAAGTCCGTGAGACTCTTATCTCCAATGAATCACCAAAACAGTCAGTTGGAAGTGGCGCTGTGGCTCAAGTGTCAGCCTTGAGCAAAAAAGCTCAGGGACAGCGCCCAGGCCCGAGTTCAAGCCTCAGGACTGGCACAAATAGGAAACAAAAATAATAAAACAGGGAAGGTGATGAAAGGGATCAAGATGCATGATACTTAAAAAGTGACTTGCTGAACAATAATGTCTTTGTATAGCTATAGATATGTGCCACTTGTATATATACGTATATATAAAATCAGCACCAAAACAGACCAACCAATACCAAGGAAGCTCTGAAACTGCACAGCCTGGAGGAGCTGTGATGTACAGACATGATGAAGTGAAAACCAAGGCAATCTGATAGAGCCTGGCCTTCAGCCATAACACATGCAGACCAAAGTCACAGGAACACACCACCTTATGGTGATTCTATTAGTTAGAGTGACTCCCGGATTCAGCAATCTGGGCATATGTGTGAACACGAACACACACACACACACACACACGAGCTGAGACCAAGGATAGGAAGCACGAGTTCTCAGTCTGTGCTGGTGGGCTGTGGACAGCTCCGCCACACCGGGAGGCAGTTAGCAGCTCCCCAGACCGCTGAAAGCACCCTGTGCTGTCCCCAGCCAGCCTACTGCTGTCCACTCCAGAGATGGAAACCGGTATCCACCCAAAGCCTGGACAGGAAAGCCCAGACCTCGAATGGACGGGCAGCAGTGCTGCCCACTCCCTGGGAGATGACCAACACAAATGGTGGGGCCTGGAGTGTGTCCACTGCTCACAGTGAGGCTCCATTGGCAGGACCATCAGCGAAAAGCCGCCCTGAGTTTTCTGAGACGGACCTGTCCCATGTCCTACAGGTGGTGACAGTCCCACTGCCTGGACGTGCACGGACGCTCACAGCACTGCGCACCTGCTCCAGAGAGCTGCCTCACCACACGGATGAAATCCTGAGTCTACCACCAAAAGGTGTGCTCATTAGCAAGGCAGAGCAAGTATCAGTAAACAGACAAGGCAACACACCATTGTTTAGGGATGACCAAAGTGAGTTTGCAACTTCACTAGCCTGTTGCAGGGCTGTGCCAGACAGGAGAAAGCTCCTGAACCCACAGCTGCTCACCAGCCGGACGTCCAGTAAGTACGGCCCCGTGTGCCGCTGGCCCTGTACAGACGCACCCTTCCCCACCTCGGACTCCTTCTGGAGGAAAAGATCCCGGATGGCCTCCTCGTAGCACTATACAACCTGACTGCACAAAGCTTCCTCCATCATTAATGTCACAGCCTCCTATTTCTTTAAAAAATTATTTCTGCCAGTCTTTGGCATTGGGTGCTGCCCCTGTGTCTCTTGGTGCTCAAGGTAAGTCTCGTGGACCTTCCTGCCCAGGCGGGCTTTGAACCGTGATCCTCAGATCACAGCCTCCTGAGCAGCTAGGATGACAGGTATGAGCCACCGGTGCCTGGCACCACAGCTTTTAAGACAAACTATTTATGGAGTTGAAGGCATGGCTCATGGCTCATTTGGCAGAGTGCTAGCTAATGAGCGAACATGTCAGGTATCAAGTTCCAGTCCAGATCTTGGATCTAAAAAAGAAGACAAACCACTTACCTGGAAGAGAATGAAGATGAGAAACAGCTCATAAACCACACTGACGCAGAGCCAAAACCGCCAGTAAGCTGCAAAGACAACACAACAGGGGGGGTCAGGCCGCCCACTGGGCCCCTCACACGCCTGGCTGTCTGTATGGAGTAACTCCCCATTTTCGTCCACAGTCCTTGCGCACTTTGTTTCTTTCTGTCTCTCCAGGGGCACAGAGGCCCAGAACTACAGGGTAGAGGCAGAGGTGGCAAACTCCCTTGCTCTGCATCTACCAGCAAGTGTGTCCTGCGTTTTTGGTGGATACCTTTATCATGGTAAGAAAAGCGCCTTTAACTCCAGTATTATTCATGGGCAATATTTTTCTGCACGTTTCAGGTCTTTTATTTAAAAAAACAAAACAGTTAATGTGATTGCTACATCAGCACACTTCTTGATGCTGGAAACTTCTTGATCTGGGGCCCAGAGCGCGTAGGCTCGTGAGCCTGCTGTCAGGGCAGGCTTGGCAGCTGCGGGGCCTCTGGGCAGGGCTCGGGTCCTGCTCTACTTGGGAAGCCCACAGGAAAGTGCTCAAGTGCTTCTGGGACACAAGCTGGACGCTGGATGCCTGAGGTTGCGCTCTTCAGGCCCCAAGAGCAGGCTGAGTCTGAGAGAAATCTTCGCAGGCTCAGGAGCTGCAACAAGGCTCTAAGTACAACCAACTCAGGATTCTGAAGGATCACAAGCTGACCCCCAGCCCACAGCAGGGGGCCTCAAGGGGACTCGGGATGCTTCCCAAGAGATAAGAGTTGTTCTGTGTCCCACCGTGTGGCTCTCTTGAGGACAGGCCGAGGCCTAAGGCTCTCTGTTCCTGACAGACACCTCTGGGGTCACCGGCTCTGAGGCTGAGCTTGACTCTTCCACCACCCCTGCCTCCTGGCGTACATTCGCCATGCCAGGGAGACTCCTGAACCAGAAGCTGGACCAACGCTGGCCCTTTAGGCCCATCCCTAAATATCCTTCCTATCTCCCTAAACAACTCGGACCACTCCTGGCATTGGTGGCCCTGATTCCAGGGCCCCACCTCCATCCAAACACAGCAATCAATCCAGGCATCAAAGGTGATAGTGAGGCGTAATCTCCGCAGTGCTCCGGACATCTGACAGCTCCAGCTTCTGGAGGAATCCACAGGTAACAGAGCCAGGAGGGGCTGGGCCCAGCTCAGGAACCGTAGAGGGCTAGCTTCTGTGAGGCCTTGGAGTTCATCTCGGCACCACACACACAAAGACAAGACCAAACCAAACTGGAAAGGGAGGGAGGCCATCCCTAATGGGCCAGGACTTCTTGTGGAACTACAGTCAACTGACGTTTCCAAATGAAGCAACCCCCCAGAGAGGTCATCTGGAGCCTTATCCCGGCCCCTCTTACAGGGCCGGCTGCTAATGGCACAGCCACACAGCACAGACCCCAGGGGTGGCAGGAGATGGGCAGAGCCCCAGGACAGGGCCGCCCTGGAGCCAAGGACCTTCTGTAGCCCCCAGGGGCATGCCTCCGGGTGGGGGGGGGGCTCCCTGCTTCCAAGCCTAACAAGATGCGAGGAGGAAGGTGGTTCCAGAACTTTTTACGTGAATGAAGCGAAGACTGGTGAAGAAACACAGCGAGCAGAGCAAAGTACGCTGGAAGGGCAGGGGAGGGGAGGGGAGGGGAGGGGAGGGGAGGGCAGCTCAGAAGCCAGCATGCCCCCAGCCAGAGATGGATGGCCCGAGGCCGCTCACAGCAACGCTGCCCGTGCGTCTGGCTGCCGATCGCCCCGCGAGCATGCAGAGCCGCTGGTGGTCAGTGTGCCCCACCGCCCTAACACCACACCTTGCTTTCCATGGTTCTGCGCAGCACCGAGGACCTGCTGGGGAGAGCAGCCTCTGCCCCGAGGCCCCACCCACGCTTCTGGGACAGAGAAAGCCTTGCTCTAGTTTTGTAATAACTGACCTTTCCTCCATTTTATTTAATTTTATTGCCTGTCCTGGGGCTTGAACTCAGGACCTAGGCACTGTCCCCAGCTTCTTTTTCTCAAGGCTAGTGCTCTACCATTGAGCCACAGAGCCACTTCTGGCTTTTCTGTGTATGTGATACTGAGGAATCGAACCTAGGGCTTCATGCATGGTAGGCAAGCACTCTACCACTAACCCATATTCCTAACCCTAGAATATTTTATTAAAGAAATAATGAGCTGGGTGCTGATGGCTCACGCCTGTCACCCTAGCTACTCAGGATGCTGAGATCTGAGGATCGTGGTTCAAAGCCAGCCTGGGCAGGAAAGTCTGTGAGACTCTCATCTCCAATTAACCACTACAAAACCAGAATTGGAACTGTGGTCCAAAGTGTTAAGAGTGCTAACTAGCCCTGAGCAAAAAAGAGCTCAGAGACAGTGCCCCAAGCCCCAAGTTCAAGCCCCACGACTGACAAAAAATAATTAAAAAAATCAGATAAGCATGAAGACTTGTGCAAAAATTCACTACTAATATACTGAAGAACTGAAAACCAGCCAAGCACAGTGGCCACATGCATATGATTCCAGCTACTTAAAAGTCGGGGAAGCAAGCGGATTTCGTGAGCTTAGGAGTTTAAGAGTATCCCAGGAAACACTGAGACCTTGATTTTTTGTTGTTGTTCTTGTGGGGCCTGAACTCTGGGCTTGGGCACTGTCCTTGTGCTCTTCAGCTCAAGGCGAGCGCGCTCTACCGCTTGAGCCACAGCACCACTTCTGATTTTCTAGCAGTTTATTGGAGATAAGAGTTTCATGAACTTTCCTGCCCGGGCTGGCTTTGAACCTATCAGCCTCCTGAGTAGCTAGGATGACAGGCGTGAGCCACTGGTGCCCGTCTGAGACCTTGATCTTAGGAAAAAAAAAAAAAAAAGGCCAGGTGCTGGTGGCTCACACCTATAATTCTATCCAGTCTGGAGCCTGCGAGCCCAGGGTCAGAACCAGCCTGGGCAGGAAAGTCTGTGAGACTCTTATCTCCAATTAACCAGCAAAAGCCAGAAGTAGAGCTGTGATTCAAAGGGTAGAGTGCTAGTCTTGAACAAAAAATGCTCAGGGGGTTGGGAAGGTGGCTCAGTGGTAGAGCGCTTGCCTTGCATGCCTGAGGCCCTGGGTTCGATTCCTCAGCACCACATAAGCAGGAAAAAAAAGCCGAAGTGGCGCTGTGGCTCAAGTGGTAGAGCGCTAGCCTTGAACTGAAGAGCTGAGGGACAGCGCCCAGGCCCAGAGTTCAGGCCCCACTACTGGACCCCCAAAAAACCAACAACAAGCAACAAAAAAATGCTCAGGGACAGTGCTCAGGCCCCAGGACGAGCAGGCATGTCCATGCATCCCATACCACAACCCCCCCACAGTGGCCAGCTGGACACTGCAGCGCACACCTGTAATCCTAGCTACTCAGGAGGTCATCAGTGAAGCCAGGTGCAGGGCTGTATGCCTGCAACCCCAGCTCCTGGGAGACTGAAGGGGAGTACAGTAAGATACTGTCACGTATGTACACACACAAACACACCAAGATTTAATGGAGGTTATTACAACACAGGTACACATAAAAACATCTCTGTATTTTATAATTCACACCCCTATTTGAGAAGAAATACATTCCTAACTACTATGCTGTTCACTCTTGAGGGGAAAATTTACCCACCCTACCGTAGCTAGGCTAGCCCTCTGGGGAAGCAGTGGGGAGCAGGCGGGGGTCTGTGTCCTCCAGCTGAGCTTTGCTGGGGGGCAGTTTGGTTCAGGGATTTGTCAGCACCAAGGGTAGAGGGAGGCAGATGCCTGGAAACCATCCAGGGCCCTCAGCCAGAGCACAGCCCCTCCCACAGCCCGACCTGTAGGAAGAGGAAGGGGAGCTGCAGGGCAACAAGGGAGGAGAGCAGCCTGGCTGGCCCCTTCCTGAGCCCGAGGCCTCCCCCTGCAGGGGAGCCAGTGCAAGGGACAGGGGATGGTCACACCCAGCTGCAGACACAGTGGTGCGGGGGACAGAAGTGCCACGAGGCTCGCATGGAGAAAGAAACGGCAAGTTACCTGGATGAGGTCTGGAAAATGGCCCATCTTTGGCTTGTGTGACTCCAAAACACAAGAAAACCAAAATACTGGCCACAATACCTCTGCAAACAAAGAACAAACAGTCCTCAGTGTGTGCATCTCCCTTCACAGAGGCGGGCGGGCGTGCGGGGGCCCCAGGGATGCCCACGGTGGCTGCCCTGCGCCCGGGCAGGGCGGCAGGAAGGGGGTCAGGTGGGGCTGGCGCCCGGGCAGGGGAGCAGGAAGGGGGTCACTGGGCAGGGGAGCAGGAAGGGGGTCAGGCGGAGCTGGCACCTGGGCAGGGGAGCAGGAAGGGGGTCACTAGGCAGGGGAGCAGGAAGGGGGTCACTGGGCAGGGGAGCGGGAAGGGGGTCACGGGGCAGGGGAGCGGGAAGGGGGTCACGGGGCAGGGGAGCAGGAAGGGGGTCACGGGGCAGGGGAGCGGGAAGGGGGTCAC